AGTGTCACTGGGAAATAAGTGTCGGGAGAGCATTTGCCTGGGGAGTATCTTTCATGGAATCCCATTGTTGCCATGTTTACGGCTGTTTTCTCCATACTTATGGCTATTCTTCCTATACTTATCATCTGGTAACTGCGTTACAGACAGCTAGACAGGCACAGGTGAATTTCCATTTCTAGGCCGTATCATTTCACTCTAAGGAAATAACCCATTGGAAAGTCGTTTTCTTGCTAGAGTTGACTGTCAGCGTATGTCGAACTGCTGCTCAGCAAAATATCACAGTTACATTGATAAGAGATAGAATGCACAACTCACTATATTAATAGCATATTGAAGCAAATGATTAATTTGAAAGAAAGCTTGAAGATGTTCGTCCTTTAATGTATGTTGAAAGCGAAAAACAAAAATGAATTGTTTCAAAAAATGAAATACTCTTTTTCGTTATCGACAAACAACAACCATCAGTTGGAGAAAAGAAAACGAGCGCAAGTATCGAAAAATCAACATGAAAGTAAAAGTGAATTGAGAATGAGTGATGCTATTGACATATGCGCTGCATTTTTTTGCCATACGCGATTGAAAGAGAAAAAACACTGTATTTCGTTTCATTTCATTTGTGTAAACAACGAAAGAAAATAACAACCTGCTGATATGGCTGCCCGAAAAAGTACGGCTCTTCACGCATTCCCCGAAAGAGGAGATGAAATTGAAGACAGCTCGTTGACGACGATTGCATCAAACTAGAGCATATCTACAGTTCTCTCTCAACAGTGCTTGCATCAGTTTATCACCTTGTCATGAGGGTGTGGCTGTGGTGGGTGTGGGTGTCAGTGTGAATTTGCTTCTTGTCAGACACCTACACTAACACCCACAGCCACAGTTACGCCTTTACAGTCACAGCTACGCCTTCACACCCATACCCACACCAACCACACCCGCACACCTCACCCCACACCCCACCCATACTCTCAAGAAATTTTTTCTTGTTCACAAATTGCTTTTGACCACTAGCTAGCTCACTGTATGGTCAAAATAGAAAAAAAATATCTCAATTGAGAAATGCGGTGAATTTTCCACGAGTGTAACTCAATTAAGACATGGTACTATAGAGGATATCATACTATGTAGAATGAGCATTATGGAGTTCTAAAACCTTGAATATTTTTGTTTGTTTCACTTAAGAAGCAATTCAACTTCTTGCATAGTAATTTTATTTTTAGTTCCAGAGTCTAAGCTAATTAAACTCAAAATCAGGCAGGGTATTTGCTCCCCAGTACATAAGCAACCACTGTAGTGATCTATAAGTTTTATTGAGGAAACAAATGTGTAAAAAAAAGTTTCGTTCGGGCCGAGCAAGCCTAGCGAATACAGTGGGCCGGGGTGGGCTGAGCAAAACTTGAGTTGGACCGAGCGGGCTTAAATAATTTCCGTACCCCACTGGGCCGGGCCAGGCCATAAAATGTGGCCCATTTCGAGCCCTGTTGTGTACAATGGTACGCAGTCCGTGTGATGATTTTGGTCATAAATTCGTCTAATCAAATTGATACCCACTCACTGATACTCAACAGAAATCTAAAGAACTACACTACGGCAGCAGTATCCGCACGCATCCGAAAAACGAGACTACATTCAATTTCCTGACAGGTCGCAAAGCAAAACGCATTCACGCCACTATTGTGAAAACGCGCCATACTCTTTGAAAATTCTACTAGAAATTCGTATGCTTACTAGCACATCTGCCAACAATGTTGTTTACTAGAGCGTCCGCTAGGAAAATAGAAGCTTAGCTGAACTCACAGCTTAATATAAATCATATTAGATCTGGTCTGTAATCGAAATACCATACTTGAAAGAAGCTTCTACTCAAAGTAGCTGTCAGACTAGACCGGTAGTTTGAATATATCTGTATACATTCCGACACGTGAATGAACACAGACAAGAACACATACAAACAGAAAAACTTCCTTTTATTTTATTCATATCTACGTCCGATATAGCGAATGTAAATTCTTTGAGTAATGTTTTTCGTCAAATGTGCTATGCAAATATTGTGCACGTGCAGAAAAGCCGTTCTCACACTTTATTGCAAAATATTTCTCAGCTGTTTGCCACTGCTAGTCCCTATTCAAACCCATTAGATCTCGACTGTTGACGTTTATCCGATGAATCCAAACAGTTTGAAGCTGTTCTTCAGGGAGTTTTCCAGCGCAGCGGCTAGCCGTTCGTCGGCGCTCCTCCAGGGCACCACTCGCGGTTAACCACTGCTATGTTTAATTCTATTCCTCCATAAGACCATTCCTTTCTATTTACACTCCACCTAATCCCAGGCTCGGCTTACTTTGAAAAATCGTTAGATCTGTAGCACGAGAATTCTCAACGGGAATTTCTAACCCAAAGCTTCGTTTTGAACTATTCCTGATTTCTTCAATTTCATTGTCTAGCTGGAAAATCAGAGTTTTATTGAGATTCTTCATTAAGGAACTATTAGTGCAGTATTCTCAAAAAAATCTAGCTTTTACACAGATCTTTTGTGAGGTGAGTCTGCAATATGCTTGCAATATGAGCGACCAGTCGTTCGTCGGCGCCCCTCCGGGACGCCACTCACGGCTCGTCGCTCCTTTTACATCAATACACTTAAGGGTGTCCCCTCCCTCAAAGATCGATCTCATCCCAGGAACATCCAAATGTCATGAAACTTTGAGAATATGTTGGGGCTGTAAAAGGACGTCTATGGTAAAATTTTCAGCCTCCTATCATGATGTAGAAGTGAGATACGAACCAAACAATGGTCGAAGAATAGCTTATCGCGTCTCCAAAAATTCTCTGTGGATATTCATTCAATATGCTTGATTGTTTTTTTTGTTTGAAAGAGCATGTCCGAATGCAGTGCCTATGAGGGCTCTTTTTTTACTCTTATCCTTCTTGAGGAAAAAAGGCCTACAAGTTCAATCACTGAAAAACCTCTCAAAAAATGGCGCTCATATTATAAAGTTGCTTATCAATATAATAATAACAAAGCTTTATCAAAAAAAGGGCTCTCATAGGCACTGGCCTTTTTGATGCTCTTTCAAACAAAAAAAAAATATTTGATTTTATATCGGGTTATAGTTGACTTTCGCTGGAGATGCGTCGCTTGACCACCATTTTGAGAAAAAACGAAAAAGATTTTTGAATTTTTCGAAAAATCGCTGGTTTTTGGAATAGAGGGTTGTCAAAAATCTTGAAAATTTTTCAGAAAAAAAGAGGTATAGAAGAAAAGTTTTTATCGTTTATGAAAGAGCAAATGATAGGCTATCTTTCCATGCATTTATCTCAATCTTGACCATTCTGACGAAAACTAACTTTTTTGAGGGAGAGGGATCCTTAATCAATAGTTGTTTATTGTCTATTTAACGTAAAAGATATGACCTCATGTACATATATCTTTTTATATTACTTTCTTCGAGTTGTAGCAGCTAGAAATTCCACGAGTCAGAACTCCCGAAAACATATACAAGGTTAAAAAGATGGTTTTTTCATAACAATAATAATACATTACAATTTTTTGCGACATCCCAGTTTAAGATTCTCGCCTATCTATACATACATTTCCTCAGGTCATAGATTTAACCATATGAAGGAACGGAGGTAGATACGCTCGCAAAATCAATCCTATTTGAAAATTACACGAAAATCCAGCTAGTTTTTATCCTCTTCCCCCATTATTCGAACAGACACCGGAGCCATTTTTTGTTCATAGATGGTTTTTATTATCCTTTAAAAGCTACAAAGATACGGAGGTTTCAAATCCTTGGGCAGCACCTCTTAATAAAATTACAATGGTACCTCTATACCAAACGTATAGGATTTCAAGGTGCGAATCACTTCGATCTCTTGGAGATTTGAAAGATGTTGTCAAAGCATTCTCAATCTGTGTGTCTTTGCAATTTTTGAAGGCATACTAAGAGCTATCTATGCACAAAAATAGCTCCGGTGTCTGTTCGAATAATAGAGAAAACAGGCACAAATTAGCGGA